TAAAGGTATAATAAACACACACACATAAATGAATACAGGAGGCAGATAGACAATCGACAGGTTCACTTAAAAAGGGCGCACCGGATGAGTTAGTTACCTGTCTCTAGTAGCCTTCTGGAAGCCGGAAGTGGACCCGGAGGCAGACCGACACAAAACAGGAAAATAACACAGGCAACGGCTGTATTATGGAGGTGATCAGGCTCCGCTTGTCCCACTTTCCGGAGGTCCGCTCCGGTCCGTTGGTTCCGGCCTTCCGAACCGGCTCTCCGGTGGGCCCCACGTTGGGCGCCAATTGAAGTGGAAAAATCAATTAAAGTATTGATTATTTCTTTGTGTATCTGCCCCTGGCCAAATCAATGAAACTATGCATGCACGCTCCCTGAAGTAATTCACACCAGACACAGGTTCTAGGTTGTTGAATAACTTGAGGAAAGTTTATTCAGAGGGGACGGCAAGTCCCTTTTAAAGCAAAATTACATCATATGCATTGTCAGAGATAACATGGAATATTACATCAATAATTGGTTAGGTGTTAAGTGGTTGCTCTAATGCTCTGCCTACTGCAGGTGATGTCACCAGGACCATGAGGGTCTCCCACGGTTTTCCGGCGCCATCTTGTTACACGAGGTAGTTAGTCGATGTTCAAAAAGGGAGGGGAGGGGAAGGAGGGGTTAGAAGCTTCTAGCAGCCATCTTGATTGAAATATGTGTACTTAGCTTTATATGTGAGATATATATATATATATTGTAAAATGAGTAAATAGACATTTTCCTTTAACTAGGAAATATGTGTAGACCTTATTTCCACAACAGTTTTAATGGAGTTTTCAAATCGTTGCTCCATATATGGACCTGGAACACGGGAAGACATTTAGGGAAAAGATACAGACTCATGAGACATTTAGGGAACAGAGATGGACAATGGGGAGCATTTAGGAAAATGAGGAGGACCTGGGAGACATTTAGGGAAAGTAGAGATAGAATGTTAAAATAGAGGGGCAGGGCCTAACCAGCATGGCCGACAGATGTGTGTGAGATGAGCTCCTCACACAAAATGAGGCACCCATGGTTTAAATAGAGGTATAACCCCTAAAATCAAAACCAAAGAGACTACGCACTATAAACTACCGACCGGGAACCCTCTCAAGCGAAACTGGAGACTCACCCCGCACTCTAAAGCCAGAACCAGACTCTGCGGCCTACTTACCTGGCAGATCCCACGAGGGAAGGAAGCGGCCGATCCTCCAACTTGGGGCTACCAGACTACCGCAGCAGACCTGCTCCCCCCCCCTTTGGCCTGGTGGGGGTCATCCCGGTACCAATTAGTAGACAGGCAGCTAAGTACACCTCAACAGTAAATAACGTCTCCCCATACCAGAGCCGCAACCAAAATGGCCACCACGATGGAGAAATACACTGCAACCGACTGGGAGACCAGCTTTAATGCCAAATTCGACAGGGTGTGCGCAGCGTTCTGGCACCGGATTGAAGCCCGTACTCAGCAGGCGCAGCCACCCACAACTCAGACTTTAAAGCTCCAGCCGGCAACATTCCCAAAAAACAGCTTTAGCGAGCCGACAAACCCAGCCACACACATGGCCCACGCCGCGGCCTCAACCGCACTGACCTCTTCTGGGCCGGGTACTCACCTGGAGGTACCCCTACTCTGCCAGCAACACACACAGGGTAGAAACCGAACACCGGAACACCCCTGGGACCAGGACCCCCAAATCGGGACCTGCGGCAAGAAGGCGCGGGTCCCCGTCAAGGCCTCAGGCCGAGGACATGCGGCACACAGACTGCGCAAGCCAGTGCTAAGCTGGACACAACAACCGACAAGAACACCCAAACGACCCTCCAGTAAAGGGGGCCCAAACTCCTCCACAGACATATCAATGGGCACCCCCCAGAGTGACGCTGGGCCACACACCACTCACCGAACCTCGCTGTCATGGAACTGTGGGCCCAATACCGGGAACCTCGGACTGGAGGGTCTCTTACGCAACCCCAAAGGTCCCACAGAACAGGTGTAGGCTGACTACGGACTGAGACCTGGGAGCTCCACCCGAGTACGGGGGAAAGTTTCCAGTGCTGCAACAAGACCTCTCAGTCTATGTCTTCAAGAAACACTTTCATGATGCTGAAATGTTGTACAAGGAATTAAAAGGCACAGTAGACAAAGTACTTTCAGGGAGTGGATACTCTGAAGTGAACCTCAGCAAGCTGTTTCAGACACTCTCCACAATAAGCTAGAGCTACAGATTCACAGGTTTTATTGTAAATCTGGATGAGTGGTGGTTTTTTTTGTTTTTGTTTTTTTTTGTTTTAACTGGTACCAAAGCAAATATAACTGTTCTATATACACTCTAGAACTTGAGTTTGATTTCTTTATAATACAAGTATGTAAAGAGATTTTAGGGACTAGCATTTACAAGTGCTAACATGCTTTGAAACTTACACAAGTGCAATAGATGTTGGTCACTTGTCTCTCTTTTTGTGATTTCACTTGAAAAGGACTTTTTAATTTATTTTTTTTTATTTTATTTTTTGGGGGGGTTTGGATAGTGAACATGATCCCTTTGTTTAACCTGATGCATTTGACACCATGTTGAGATTTTTACTTGTACACAGTTGTCCATGGAGACCCAGGAGATAAAAGGATTGCTACTTTAATAATTCCCAGTGAGAGTGGCTGAAATGTAAGCAATCCTAGACTTTTTTTTTATAGGTTATTTAGTGGAGATGCTTTCAGGAAGCAGGGTTAGACAAGGCCACAGCAGGAGCACTAATGTTTTTGCCTTTTCACAGTTTATCTGCTTCCTATCACAAACATACTAATTAATAAAATGACTGAATCTGAGTGTTCTCTACAGCTTTCATGTCTGAAACTTGTGAGTGTGGCAAACTCCAGTAGGAAATGTTATTTCTCCATATTTCTTTTCGTACAATATAATGAAGATTAATCGTTCTCCTGTCATGTTGCATAGTTTTCTCAAAACAATTTTGTATTTTTAAATGTTCTCTTTTTATTTTCTCAAGACTGGTTCCTTCTTGAAAACTTTGTTAATGCTGAAAGATGTTGCAATGTAAAAATGGAATCAGATGCTCGCTATTGCATTGTAAAATTGCTCTCTTCATATAAATATTGAAGATACCTTTTATACCGAATGAACAATAACTGACATGTACACTATTATTGTCACCTTCTGTATTGATGCATATAACTTTGTTTTGCCAATCGTTATGACGTCAATAAAAGCAAATTGAATTAAAAAAAAAAAAAAAGAATGTTAAAATATTAAGACACAGAGCCAGACTGGGATACATTTTAGAAGAAAAGACTCTTGAGGGGAAAAAAGAGACACACTTCCCAAAACACACACACAGTCTAGTTGTACATCCATACACACACAGTTTTATTGACATATACACACTCAGATCCCTTATATTCCAGGCTTGCCAGTGCTGTGCCTAGAGGAGAAGATGTCCTTTGCTTTTAATTGTCAGGAATACAAAGAGACCCAACACACAGAATTAAATAAAATAGAAATGGTAATGTATACCGGACCTTAGAGTGGCCGGGCTAACGTTGCAGGGACAGAGAATAGTCAGAGATAAGCCGAGGTCAAGCAAGCCAGAAATCAGGAAAAGCAAAAATACAACAGCCAAAGTCAGAACCAGAAATAGACAAATACAATAATGAGCTATAGGGAACAAAACTTGAACCACAACAGGGCAATGGCATAAGTCCTTAGAGACTTTTAATATTGTGGCTCTTTAATTTTGTAACCACGCCCCCAAATGTTCGAATTCAAACATTTTGGCAGGTCGTGATGTAATCGTGCAAACGATGCATCATAAAAAGGGCAGAGTTACAACGGCCAGCAACGAAACCACTGAGGAGAGAGGGAGGACTACGGGGACAGTCCACCTCTACATAGAGGATGTCCCCAGGCTGTGTCCCAGCCTGGGCAACAAGTGCAAGTGCTCTCTCAGCACAGCTTCTTTCTGCTCCCTTTGGAGGCTTGCACAGGCAGGGACAGCCGGGCTACCATGTAACGTTCTGCCAGCCCCTGACTGCAATGAGAATTGAGTTATGGGCCAACAAGCAATATATGTCCGTAGATGCCCTTAAAACCATGAACTGGTATCATGGAGGCTGTTATCAATTTGTGGCCACCAACCAATTGGCCTGTCAGTCCTCTATGTTCTTCTTAGTATCCCTTATTTTCATTCTAGTCTAGCTTCCATTTTAGACAAGCTCTTTTGTCTCTCTATTTTTCTTCCTGCTTCCTTTGAAGGCTTTCCAGGGTTCACAGGCAAGAAGCAGTCGATATACCAAGTAACGTCCTGACATTGAGTTATGCTCGAGTGCTTGGGTTATAGGAACTCCACGCACTGATCAGCTCATTGTCGACCCTAAGGAAGAGAGACCCAGCAGGAGAGATATCTGCATTAGTGGGTGGCTAAGTGCTCTGGCCCCACTTTACCCAGCACAGTTAGTTAGAAGGCATTTTTTACCTAATGGTTACCATTCCTGCTTCCTATAACAATATTTAAAATCCTAGTTCTTACAGGATAAACCTGATAGGCAAAATTATAGCCTTAACTTCAGATTAAAGGGACACTATAGTCACCTGAACAACTTTAGCTTAATGAAGCTGTTTTGGTGTATAGAACATGCCCCTGCAGCCTCACTGCTCAATCCTCTGCCATTTAGGAGTTAAATCCCTTTTTTTTTTTAACCCTAGTCACACCTCCCTGCATGTGACTTGCACAGCCTTCCATAAACACTTCATGTAAAGAGAGCCCTATTTAGGCTTTCTTTATTGCAAGTTCTGTTTAATTAAGATTTTCTTATCCCCTGCTATGTTAATAGCTTGCTAGACCCTGCAAGAGCCTCCTGTACAGGGACGTTTTAGCCGTGAGGCAAACCAGGCATTTGCCTTGGGCGGCATTTTTCAGGGGGCGGCAAAAAACGCCGCCCCCAAATGCCCAGGGCAAATGCCTAGTTAGCCTCGCGGCTAACAGACATGCTGGGCGCTGGGCGGGCGGCTGGCGAGGGAGCTGAGCAGTCAGCTCAGAGGAAGAGCTCCCTCGCCAGCCGCCCGCCCATCGCCGCCCGCCCAGCAGCCAACCCATCAGCCCGACCGGCAGCCATTGGACCACCAGGGAGAAAGAGGAACCCCCCCAGCACTCCCAAAGGTAAGGAGGCTGGGGGGGTTAAATAATAAATAAAAAAATGCGTTAATGTGATTGTGTGTGTTTGTGTCTGACTGTGTGTGTGTGTGTCTGACTGTGTGTGTGTGTTTGTGTGTGACTGTGTGTGTGTCTGACTGTGTGTGTGTGTTTGTGTCTGACTGTGTGTGTGTGTGTCTGACTGTGTTTGTGTCTGTGTGTATGTGTGACTCTGTGTGTGTGTGTGTGTTTGTGTCTGACTGTGTGTTTGTGTCTGACTGTGTGTGTGTGTGCGTGTGTTTGTGTCTGACTGTGTGTGTGTGTGTGTGTGTGTTTGTGTCTGACTGTGTGTCTGACTGTGTGTGTGTCTGACTGTGTGTTTGTGTGTGTGTGTGTGCTGTGTGTGTGTTTGTGTCTGACTGTGTGTGTGTCTGACTGTGTGTGTGTGTGTGTTTGTGTGTGACTGTGTGTGTGTTTGTGTCTTACTGTGTGTGTGTGTGTGTGTGTGTTGTGTCTGACTGTGTGTGTGTCTGACTGTGTGTCTGACTGTGTGTGTGTGTGTGTGTGTGTCTGACTGTGTGTGTGTGTCTGACTGTGTGTGTGTGTGTCTGACTGTTTGTGTGTGTGTGTGTGTGTGTGTATTTAGAAGGTGGGGCGGGGAAGGGTTGGGTGGGTTTGGCGCGGGGGGAGGGGGGTGCCTGAGTTTTGTCCTGCCTAGGGCAGCACAAAACCAGGATACACCACTGCTCCTGTATGTGATTAAAGTTCAATTTAGAGATTGAGATACAATTATTTAAGGTAAATTACATCTGTTTAAAAGTGAAACCAGTTGGTTTTTTTTCATGCAGGCTCTGTGGCTAGGGCTGCATAAACAGAAACAACGTGATTTAACTCCTAAATGACAGTGAATTGAGCAGTGAAATTGCAGGGGAATGATCTATACACTAAAACTGCTTTATTTAGCTAAAGTAATTTAGGTGACTATAGTGTTCCTTTAAGACAAAGTGATAGCAAGATATGCAAGCATACCTTAGAATGGCTGGACTTAACGTGAAACACCTCTTTTAGGTGAAACAAAACTATGGATTCCAGAAGTATGTGGAATAATAGGCCACAAGTAAGTACAGACAATAGACAGAGAATGGTCAAATCAAAAGTCAGGTCAAACAAAGGAAACACAAAATGAATGTAAGTCATAGTACTGAGAACACTCCTAGGAGTTCTGAACCACAAATGTGTAATGAGGTGAGAGGTTTTTTGTTTTTTTTTAACTCCCTTCCCCTGGCATCCCTGATGCCTATAAAATCTGCAGCATTACCAGGTGCAGAATGACGTACAAATGGAGCAGGTTCAGAGTCAAAAAAAGTGTCCGGTGTCAGAATGTCTGCCACATCGAAAACATGATGCCAGTTGGCCAACGTTCCAGACACTTCTTAATCTTTTCCTAATACTGCACGTATCTACCTAACCTCACTAAAAAAATAAGTATGTCCCATCCAGACCCCTATGCTCTGCTAAACATCTTTATCTGTCGCCTGTTTACACTCACATCACTGCCTCTCACCAGCAGGACTTCTGTAGGGCTGCATCTTTCATATGAAACTACCATTCCTGACTCTTCCATACTCCGTATACTTCTTCCTATTACTATTTCATTATAAACAAACATACCAAACAGAAATAAATAAGTCATCATGCAATAAAATATAAGAACACAAATACTGAACAGCAACTGAAAACACACTAAACAGTGTCAGATATTGTGAAAATTTTGTTTGAGGAGAGCCCTTACTACCTCTTGTTCTTCTCAAACTTGTAATTTTTTTTTGATTTCTATGTCTCATGAGCACACTGTATTGCAAAAATGACAATAGGAGCCGCAGTTAATCTCAGCAGCCACCGGGTGCTCCGGAGCAGGAAAAACAGATAGAGAAGGGCTGCTGCTCCGGAGCAGGACCAGCAATCCCACAACGACAAGGTAACACAAGAAATTCTCCAGGCACTCACGGTGTTCAAGCCGCAGGCAGTGTTAATAGCACAAAAAAAGGCGCAGCAACATTTTGACCTGCCTAGAGGTCTTGATAAAGCTTGTCAAGCTTGATAAAGACCTCTTGGTAGGTCGAAACGTTGCTGCTCCTTTTTTTGATCAATTACAACTGCCTGCTGCTTGAACACCTCGAGTGCCTGGAAAATTTCTTGTGCTGCCTTATCATGAGCACACTGTATGACCATGCCAAAAATATTGTTACTTTATAAATCCTAATAATATTAATTAAAAAAACAACTTGTTTCAACTTAAATTCTCTGCTATTGAGTTTATTTTGAGAAAGCATATTTAAGTGAGTGTAAGATTACTTTATAACATGGGGTGTATAGCTTATTTATTTACAATATTGCCCATCAATCTTTATTCTGGTGAGCTATTAGTGACAACCGGAGTCTCTGATCTGAAATCCCAAATTAAGCACTTGACCCGGCTCAGTTTTACAAGAAGACTAGCTTCTGAGTTTGTTAGAAAGCCAAACTGTGTGAGTTGAATGCAGAAAGTAGCTTTACTACTAGTTTGGTTTTAAAGAATATGCCACTTAATTATATTTATCCAGCATTGTGCAAATCAGTAGCGTAATCACTGGACTCTGAACACTAAACCTTTGCGACAGCTCTGGTGTAATTTAGGCTTTTGATATCATAATAAACCTAGGCTGGTGAATCCTGTGAATTCTGTAATTGTTCATTGTCAAGGAGTATGAACTACAATACATTTAAAATCAGTTTCAAATCAGTGAATTCTATTAGCCAGGGTAATGAGGTTTCAGACTCATGTACAGCTGATGTAGAACAGTAAGTGGCACTTCTCTCCCAGGATTGGCTTCTATCCAGACCCCCCTCTACTTTTTTCTTCTCCATCTCAGCCAGCAGAAGGGGGGCAGCTGACAACAATTCCTGGATTATAAAGCAGAGGTGACCTCTGCAGACCTGCACTGCCTTATAAAGTTGTGATATGAAGATAAAGGATAATGATACATTGGTATTTATAGAGACCCTTACCCTATCTATTAACCTCTTCACCCACTCCCTCTGATGTGCCACTAGTTGCTTGATATATGGTGACAGTTGCCACTCGTCTCGTCTTATTTCTAGTGCACAGATATATTCCTTGAATTTCTTGCCTGATTGCTGTTGAAAAATAACATTAGTATATGCTGAAGAGGATGTAATTGCTTTTGACGTTCTCTTTCAAAGATGCTTAATTGTGATACCTGTTATAGGTAATCAACTTTTCAAAGACAGTTTTATTCAGCTACTATTTAAGGATCAGCTATTGCTTTTTGCAGCCCTGCAATACCCCCAACTGCCCCTTTTTAGGAGGGACAGTCCCTACTTCTGTCCATCTTTCTATCCTTTGCTTCGTGTTGTTGGTGTGTCTGAGAGTATAACAGAACTCTACAAACACAATAATACTCACAGTAATGTGGATTTAGAAATTACTCTGCGTAAATAACGTGCACTGTTCTTCTAATTTACATTTTAAATTTTAATTTAATACATTGTTATTAGTAAGTCACCTAAAATCTCTCATAACAGCCACACCCCCAGTTGTAAAATTGATGTGTCCCTCTTTGTCCATTTGAAAGGTTGCAACAGACATCTGGTGGTATCCAACATTGCTCTTGAGACATCTACCACAAGCATAATTTGATCATTGTTTGGGACATAAGTTTGATTTATTTTATGATACAAACTCCTGCACAATTTCTACACATACTATGCTAGTTTTTTTTTCTTTTTATGATTATTCCAGTACCCTCTAAACACACAAACAATTATGATTTTTTTTAAACCAACCAATAAGAAACATAAAAGGAAAAATGGCAATGCATGTTTGCTACATTCTGAAAACCTTGCATACAATTGTGAGACAAGAGGTACCTCACCATCATGTTTGTTTTATTATTGTTTTCTTTCAGTCTTCCTTAACATAATTTGGCATCCCTTAACCCTTCTCCTGTTAGCCCACCGCTATGGTGTCATTTTGGTGTATGCCACCTCCTTCCAACCTCACATTTAGTTATTCTTTGTATCTCATTACTTCTATCTTAAAAATAGCTTACATCCATCAATGAACATCCAACATCCAACCCTCTGCAATGTATCGTGAATTTTGCAGCTAGATTTGTCTTCACTTTTACCCTATAGCAGTTCACTGATTGGCTGAGAGTGTCAGCTGCCCGTTCTCAGCCAATCAGAAGCACCCCTGCCTGGCGGCACTCTTTACTTCCCGAAACTGAAATTTCGGAAGCCAGATGCTACCTGGGGGGACTTGAGATCAGCACTGGAGGCAACTTTGAGGTTAAACTTTGTGAGAATGGTTTAACTCTGTCAGGTAAGCCTTCCTGGCACCATAACAACTTTATTTACATTAATTTGTTATGGTGCCTAAACTGTCCCTTTCAATTACAATCTAATGTCTGCAACTGATCGATCAGAAAACATTACCAAGTAAAAAGTGTGCCTGACTTGTGATGTGGACCTTGATAGGCCAATATGGAGATGTTACAAATACAAAGTCCTGCGCTCAAACTCCCATTACTCCTGGGCGGCAGCAACGACCATAGTAAACATCAGCCAAAATACATATAGTAAAAACCAAAGAAAAAAGTTACCTGCGCTTTTTCCACATCCCTATGTTTTTTTAAACAAATTGAGGTTTTTAGTTACCTCCAATGGCCATGAGAGGGTATGCCCACCTGCCACGTCAAGGCAGACCTCTTAGGTCTGCCTTAACTCTAACCATTTTTTGTATCACACAGCTAGGTTACAATGCTGCTGCCCATCCCATGTGTTCCCTATTAGGGGTCAATAAGCATTTTGTGTTTCCTTTGTTTGACCCGGCTTTGATTTGACCATTCTCTGTCTATTGTCTGTACTTACTTGTGGCCTATTATTCCACCAACTTCTGGAATCCATAGTTTTGTTTCACCTAAAAGAGGTGTTTCACGTTAAGTCCTAAACTGTCCCTTTCGATCAGAAAACATTATCAAGTAAAAAGAGGGCCTGACTTGTGATGTGGACCTTGATAGGGATGTATATAAAAAATACCCCTTTCTGTCTCATTAGAGATATCTTTGCAGAAGCTCAAGGAAGCAAGGTGAATGGTTAGAGTTAGGACCCACCTAAGAGGTCTGCCTTGACGTGGCAGGTGGGCATACCTCTCATGGCCATTGGAGGTAGCTAAAAACATCCATTTGTTTAAAAATATATAGGGATGTGGAAAGAGCGCAGGTAACTTTTTTCTTTGGTTTTTACAATATGGAGATGTTACCAAGATATACATTGGTCATCTTTGTAAGGATTTAGATTTTATCACAGGTTAAAGACAGACAGTTGCATTGCTGATTCTAATATGTGACCATTGTGTTGTTAACATCATATGTTTCATATGAACATTGCCGTGTGTCAATTTCTTTAATGTACCTGTTATGGTTGATTATATATTTCTTACCTGTTCTATGTTAACTTCTGCATATATGTTATGTATTAATATTGTCTTTGTATTTTATTGTACCCTATTGTAACAATGCAATGTTTTGTGGAGCCAGGACATACTTGGAAACCAGAGAAATCTCAATGTGTCCATCCTGGTAAAATATTTTATAAATAAATAAATGTACATGTATTTCAGGTATCGTGCACACTTATATATTTGTTATGTTACTCATTTTGAAACCTATATGTTACGTACAATGCTTGTTTGTCCGTTAATTGGTTTAATAAATTAACAAGGAAACATAAGTTACATTTGCTTGTACAAGTAGTCTAGTCAGGAGAGGTGTCTGTTGTGTTCATGCGGTTCAAATGCTAACAATGTAGTATTATTGTGTGTTAGAAACATTTTCAGATACTTTTCCAGTACTTGAAGTGTTGCAAACTCTGCTTGGGCAGGATTGGGACAGATACAGTCCATTTTTCACAGTGGAGTTGCGATCACTTGTACGTCATTAACTTTTCATCTGCAGTCGTTAATATGTTGATATTAGACACAACATTAAAACCACTGACAGGTGAAGTGAATAACATTGACTATATCATTACAATGGCACCTGTCAAAAGGTGAGATGTATTAGGTAGCAAGTGAACAGTCAGTACTTGCATTTCATGTGTTAGAAGCAGTAACAATGGCAAGCAAAATTACCCGAGTTACTTTGACAAGAGCCATTTACAGTAGTGATGGCTAGATGACGGGTTCAGAGTATCTAAAAAACAGCAAGTCTTGTGGGGTGTTCCAGGTTTGCAGTGGAGAGTACCTACCAAATGTGGTGCAAGGAAGGACAATCGTCAACCCTGTGTCAGGGGTGCCCAAGCTCAGTGATGCACGTGGGATCTGTATATGTTGTACGACATTACTTTGTTTTTATGTTTATATCATGGTAGTAACCTGGATGTCAAATAACTTTTTCCTATAATACATTTCTTCATATGACACAAAATAAAGATAACTAAAAAATAGCTCATTCCTATGCATGAAATCGTTTGGAAAAGAAGTCCACAAACCTGTTAAGTTTATATAATGTACTTGCTCACTAAATTAAACCAAATTAAAATATTGCACTCATAATGGAGTGAAAGGGCAGCAGTAATAGATGATGACTGCTTAAAACAGATTCACCTGTGTATTGGAGGTGTGCCACTGGAAAAAGACTCATATCTCCTTGGTAACTTTAAGACAACAAAATAATTTTACAAAAACCAGAGAGAGTTAACGATTGCAGTGGACAGGGAAATGCCAATCACTTTTCACTGTGTATTTTGCAATGAAAGGGTTAATTAAATCTCCCCATCACAGAGGGATCACAAATGTCCTTGGTGGTATGTCACACTTGTTATGGGTCTCCATCTCACATGTCACCCACAGCCCTCCAACATGATTCCAACACAATGACGTGAGACCCTCAATTGTTTTCAGTGGTTTTGTTTCTGGTGGGTGTGGCTTTCAAACAATGGATCCAAATCTGGATGGGGGAGAAGACAGGTGCGTGTATATATATAAATATGGGTGTATTTGTGTACGCACAAAAAATAAGTCACACATCCTGCCATATCTAGAATCTGCTGCACAGTGACTGACAGCTCCCAGAGGTGAGTTATGTGCTGCAATTTATGTCTATAGGCTACTAATTCAGACAATATTTGGGTTTTGTATGCTGGAATCGCATTGCTCATACACTGTACAGCGTGTGCACCAAACTGTACTAAACATGTTTTTCTGGACAGTTGTGAGTTCCGCATGCTGTTGGGAGGTACATGAATGGTGCTGCTTGGCAGTATATGGAATTCACATGCTGCGACATTGAAATTAGTTAACCATACTCCAGGGCTATTAACCACTGCTTAATGGATTCATTTCCCATTAGCAGCATATGAATTCTACATACATTATGGGAAGCATTAATAATGTACTTCCCTATAGCATGTGGATAATATTACATGTTTAAATTGTTTCTCTGTAATTAGCTCTGTTTCAGTTAAAGGTGCAGTATTAGATTAGCAGGTTACTCGTTAAAACTGAAATTGTTCAGAATTTATGATTTAAGGTAAAATGAATGCAACTGGGAACATTTTCAAACAGGGTTATTGCTGAGTTCAAAGAGAGAGAATTTCAAATTTTAAGGCTGCAATAGCCAAATTGAAAAGCAAAATTTTCTAATTTGACTATTTTGGCTTCCATTTTGAAATTCACTATTAATTCACTTTGAATTCCCAGCTATTCTCACTTATGAGCTATGTTTTAGTTAGGTTATTTCCCTTAATGAATACCACTGAGAGAGATATAACCACAAGACATTTATTTACGTGTTCTAAATGACTGGCGCTTCAATATAGTAATACAAACTGTGTGCCCAACTATTTTTATTTTATGAAATGTTTGCTCTAAGTACCATACCCAATTGCACTTCTCTATGATAATCATTTGATTGGACACTGCAAATCATGAACAGGAGTTTCATGCTGGGCTGAAAATGGAAAAATCTGCATTTGCTGCAAAAGTCAGATTTGTAGCTAATATATGGAAGGTGGTTTGGATTCCGAAACCATTTAAAAATGCATTATCTTTATGCATACTAGTGCAGAGACTTCGGAACCACCCCTCTTTTTAGGGTCTGTCTATTCAGCACTCTAGTTATGAAGCTTCGGGCCTAAGCTGATGATGTATTTGTGTTGTTGGTGGACACCTTAGCCTCCGTCCTCTATGCAATCTACTATGCTAATTTGGGTCCGGTTCAAACTATAAAATTTATATGGAATAAGTTGAGTAATTTGCCCTTTAAACTCTCAACTGTGGACATAATGTAGATTAATTTATAGCTTGGCTTTTAGATTGAGACTGATTCCCTTAGTTAATATATGCAGAGGGGAGGCATCCACTTGCATGTATATAAAGAAATAGGGTGCTAAAGGTTGCAGACCAACTTCCCTATGTGATACAATACAGATATCTTAATACAAATCAACCCCACATCTTATTGTCAAATTTATAAAAAAATAATCTTTATTTAATGACACAAAATACAATTCTGATTTAATCTATATACACTAAAATGAACAATTCATAATAGAAACTATATACATATAGTTCATCTATTCATTAGCAATACAAGCATTGTCATAACGACTGAGTACAAACTATTTAATGAAAAAAGGAAAGAAAAGACAAAATGCACACAATGTAAAAATAAAGTAATTGCTGTATAAAATTTTACCTAATTGCTGTGACTGAAGGGCATCACCACCCAACTTTTAGGCACCAATGGCCTTTGTGCAAAGGTGTGCAGTTGATTTGTATTGAGACTGATTCCCTTACCCGATTGATTGATGACAAAATTATCCCAATTAGGGCCTGTACATTTTTACACCCTATCTTGGGTTATCAAGGGGGATTTGGATTCCTGGAATTCCAGACCGATCTTATGGATTGGTTGGATACACTTTGTTAAAATGAACATACTACCTTATATTCTTTTCCTCTTCCAGGCCCTCCAAATTTTTATTCTGAGAAGGGACTTGGATAAATTGCAGTGTGCTATTGATGCCTTTATTTGTAGTAATTGGAGGCACAGAAATGCTAGAAGGGTGGTGTATTGACAAATGGTCATATAAGGTCTCTTACCTCTAATTCAATCTCCTATGACTTCTTTCCCCCACAACACATATTTACCCCCAGGTATAGTTTCTAGAGATTTAGGTAGACTAGAGAATACTGGCTATCAGAGGTTTTACCATTTATACCAGGGTGATTCTTTAGTTCCCTCATTGGCGCTTAATTAGTTGACCCATTTCTCCTCCAAAGTTCATTTTAGACATTAATTTTTATTTTAGCTTATTTTCAGGATCTTTGCAGGTCAGGAAAAGGTAGCTGTTGCAGCTGAGACTGAAATTACCTTTTATGAGTCCTTATGTCATGTGATAGGGGCACTGTTTAGAAAGATCTTGTTACTTTGCTATACAGCACACACTGCTCCAACTCTGTAAAATGGGGTGACCTATTGTAGTCATTGGGAGCAACACCTAAATGAGCCTCAGGTAGTTTGTTTAGGAAGGTTTTTGAGAAGCTGCCAGTGGAATTTCCATCTATGTTTTTTTACAGGAGCAATTGTTCAAGATATTAATGAGGTGGTACACTGTAACACTATTAGCATCCTGAAGCTCCAAGGGAATATTTTCACATATGCAGTCATCTAATTTTGGTGCAGTGTTTAGCATTTATTGTCTAATGTGTTTTCACAGATGATTTATATGCAGAATAAATAACGGTTCAGGCACTCCGGGATCAAAGAAAAGGCAGTTTTATTGTGGCAAAAGCAGCAACGTTTCTACCATATCGGGTCTTCATCAAGCGGTCAAAACGTTGCTGCTTTTGCTCCAATAAAGCTGTTATTTCTGTTATCCCGGAGTTTCTGAACCGTTATTTATTTTGCATATCTTGGAAGGGCAGGCCTTGCTAGCCCTGGCTTCAAAGCACATGGGTTAGTTTGTGAGTACGGTATCCAGTATGTGTCTTCACAGATCCGTTGACCTGAACACATGGTCCTTCTTGTTTTCCAGGCCCATTGTTAGTTTTCCTTCGCCCCCTCCAAAACTACTTTAACAAAATAATGTTAGTGGCAAGGGCTTTCTTGTCATGTTGGTTACAATCCAGGGTCACCTTCATCCCTAGGATAAAGTTAAGATAATGGAAAACCTGTCTCTTGCATTGGCTGACATATCAAAAGTCCTGGTCACCTTTTACTCCATTAGGTGTTGTGTTGTACATTATAGGTGTGTGGGTTTTTTTTTCTGTTCTCTTTATCTTCTCATTTTCACTAAATTCAGAATGTCTGCAAGTGCCTATGGTCCTTTCCTGTATCTATGCAATGTATTTTATTGTACTTGTTAAATAAAGAATTAAATAAAATTATATGCATATGTTAACCTACAGTTTTCCTTTAAAATGATACCTTGGCTCCTAAAGTGAAACCATAATATTTGTGAGTATATTACAAAAGGAAAGAAAAAAAAATCTGTTAAATAGTTCTTATGTGTTTAAATGAACATAGGGCAGGGATAGGCAACCTTCAGCACTCCAGATGTTGTGAACTACATCCCCCAATAATACTCTTACACCCATAATGCTGGCAAAGCATCATGGAAGGTTTAGTCCAAAACATCTGGAGTGGTGAAGGTTGCCTATGCCTGCTATAGGGTAAGGAACACAAACATGTATTCCTGACCCTATAGTGTTAAAACCACCATCTAGCCCCCCAATTTCTCTGAAACTGCTATGTTTACAGCTGCAGGGTTAACACTAGAGGGACATGGCACCCAGACCACTTCATTGAGCTGAAGTGGTCTGGGTGCCTATAGTGGTCCTTTAAATGGACACTATAGTCACCAAAACAACATTAGCTTAACAAAGCAGTTTTGGTGTATATACACTATAGTCCCAAGAACAATTGTAGTTTACATTTAGTTTTGGAGTATTTATCATGCCCGTGCAGTCAGACTGCTCAATTTTCTGCCATGCAGGAGATAAATCACTTTTGTAACTGATTAGGCAGCCCTAGCCACACCTCCCTTGGCTGTGACTGACCCAGCCTGCATGAAAAAAAGTGTTTCATTTTCAATCAGATGTAAGTTTTTATCTCCAGCTCTGCACACTGAACTTTAAAGGGACACTGTAGGCACTCAGACCACTTCAGCTCATTGAAGTGGTCTGGGTGCAATGTCCCAAGTCCCTTAACCCTACAGTGGTAATTATTGCAGTTTCTGAGAAACTGAACTAATCACTTGCTAGACTTAACTCTTCCTCTAGTGGCTGCCACTAGAGGGACTTCCGGGTGCTTAGATGACTTCTAATGCTATGCATGAGGAATTCAGCGTCACCGGAATTCCCATAGGAAAGCATTAAATAATGATTTTCTATGGGGAAATCCTAATGTGAGCGCGGCCATTGCCACGCATGCGCATTAGGTCTCCTCCACCAGCTGATGTCCGTGGGGGAGGAGCATGGGCGGAGCCTGACCCAGCACCGAGGGACATCAGTCCTGGATTCGGGTAAGTGATTGAAGGGGTTTTAACCCATTCAGCACCATGGGATGGGTGGCGAGAGGGAGGTGGGCACTGTAGGATTCTTTAGCGCCAGGAAAACGGCTTTGTTTTCCTGGCACTAGAGAATCCCTTTCATCACACACAGGAGGCTCCTGCAGGGTCTAAAGGACTATTAACAGAGCAAGAGATAAAAAAATTCTAAATGAAACAGAATTTGCAATAAAGGAAGTATAAACATTAGATGACTCTTTACAGGAAGTGTTTAGGAAAGCTGTGCAAGTCACATGCAAAGAGATGTGACAACGGCTGCATTAACAAAATGATTTAACTCCTAAGTGGCAGAAAATTGAGCAGTGAGACTGCAGTGGCAACAGCTTTACTCCAAAACATACTTAAACTACAATTGTTCTGGGGACTATAGTGTCCCTTTGAAAAATAAAGAATCTTACTTATAAATGTATGTTAAAAATGTATTAGCCATAGTGATGTCCCGAACGGTTCACCGAACGGTTTGCCACGACCGGTTCTCTACGGACTCATCATTGAGTAAACTTTGTCCCTGTACCTCACAGTCAGCAGACACATTCCAGCCAATCAGCAGCAGACCCTCCCTCCCAGACCTTCCCACCTCCTGGACAGCTCACTAAGAATGCAGCTTCAAAATGGAAGCTGTCCAGGAGGTGGGAGGGTCTGGGAGGGAGGGTCTGCTGCTGATTGGCTGGAATGTGTCTGCTGACTGTGAGGTACAGGGTCAAAGTTTACTCAATGATAAGTCTGCGGCGAACCGTTCGGCGAACCGTTCGGGACATCACTAGCCACGGTACATAACAAATCTTGAAGCTGTAAAATGAGCTTGTTCCCATATAACCGCCCTGCGTGTACTAAAAACTTGGCGGATATATAAAAGGTAATTGCAAGAAAAATGCAAAAGTTAAAAAAATTAATGAGAATAATGTATCACATTAGTGGATAAGAACAATGTAATTTACTCTCAAAGCTGGCACACACATCTGATCTCCAATATTGTCCACTAGTGATGTCCCGAACGGTTCGCGAATGGTTCGCCACGAATGGTTCACCACGGACTCATCATTGAGTAAACTTTGACCCTGTACCTCACAGTCAGCAGACACATTCCAGCCAATCAGCAGCAGACCCTCCCTCCCAGACCCTCCCACCTCCTGGACAGCTCACTAAGAATGCAGCTTCAAAATGGATGCTGTCCAGGAGATGGGAGGGTCTGGGAGGGAGGGTCTGCTGCTGATTGGCTGGAATGTGTCTGCTGACTGTGAGGTACAGGGTCAAAGTTTACTCAATAATGACTCCGCGGCGAACTGTTCACGAACCGTTCGGCGAACCGTTCAGGACATCACTACTGTCCACAATTAGTGATGTCCCAAACAGTTCGCCACGAACGGTTCGCTGCGAATGGTTCACCGCGGACTCATCATTGAGTAAACTTTGACCCTGTACCTTACAGTCAGCAGACACATTCCAGCCAATCAGCAGCAGACCCTCCCTCCCAGACCCTCCCACCTCCTGGACAGCTCACTAAGAATGCAGCTTCAAAATGGATGCTGTCCAGGAGATGGGAGGGTCTGGGAGGGAGGGTCTGCTGCTGATTGGCTGGAATGTGTCTGCTGACTGTGAGGTACAGGGTCAAAGTTTACTCAATAATGACTCCGTGGCGAACTGTTCGCGTCGAACCGTTCGGCACATCACTATCCACAATATATCTGAATATAGACAGATAAACAGATGAATATGCTTGAAAGGAGAAAAATGTATAGACGTAGAATAGCTGTAAGGGATCGCCTCCAACCTCTAATCTAATTCATAATATCAGCTCACCAGAATTTCTATAGCCATTAAGTCATGCCTTGCTGACAAGGTCTCACAATCTGCTGTACAGGCTTATCTGCATCAAATGATGTATTGTAACAAGAAATAAATGGTAATAATAACACTGTACAAAACACTAAAGCAAACTGTATGTGAGCAGTAGGTTCAGTGCATCCTTTCCTCTTACAGGCCAAGATGGGTGATGCAGTGATGGCAGAGTTCGGTGCGGCCGCTCCGTTTCTGAGAAAGTCAGATAAAGAGCGTCTAGAAGCTCAGACACGACACTTTGATATGAAGAAAGACATATTTGTTCCAGATGAAAAGGATGAGTATGTGAAAGCCAAAGTGCTATCTAAGGAAGGGGAAAAGATTACAGCGGAGACTGAGCATGGCAAGGTGAGCTCATTACCACCATATTTATGGTATTTATGAGACATTTGTCCTAAACACAATGTCCCATTCCTTTCCTACATGTGTTTGCATTCTAGACGGTCACAGTGAAAGACACTTCGGTGATGCAGCAGAACCCGCCCAAGTTTGATAAAATTGAAGACATGGCGATGTTGACTTTCCTGAATGAGCCAGCTGTACTGTATAACCTCAAAGAGCGCTATGCAGCCTGGATGATCTATGTGAGTTGCTTCTTGAGACACCATCTCAATTACATTCATTCCCCTAAACATAAAAAGCACATTCTACAACTTTAATTGTCCACCCAACCCTACCGATCCCCTACACATCATCTTTTAATACTACTGGGGATTTGACAATACTGCTCTATAAATGTGTCCCTTCTCTCAGCCACCCGTACAAATCCTGCAATGGATACCAATTACTTGGCATTTCATCTCTAAGCCAATTATGGAGTCTTTGACAAGCCATATATCTACTTTATTATCGAGGGATCCTTCCTGAATAGAATATCTAATTTTAAACATTATTCAGCCTACTAATAACACACATTTTACAATTGTTTGGTATGTAGAAAATGTGTAAGAAAAGGGAACATATATTACTGTAAATAAATAAAGATTTCCTGTGCCAAATAGTATTATACAAATTATAAAATAATTATTTAAAGGTAAGTAGATAAAGAAAAAAATAATACTTTTACTAGTCAGACAAAGATAATTACATTATTAATTAAGAAATGAATTCTAAAGAGCTGATAGGTCAATATCCTACAAAAAACTATTTATAGTCTGTGTATGTTTGTACAAATCCTGCAATGGATACCAATTTCTTGGCATTTCACCTGTAAGCCTACTATGGAGTCTTTGTCAAGCTATACATCTACTTTGTTATTGAGGAATTCTTCCTGATATATTCTACAAATATAATATCTAATTTTAAACATTAGTCTGTCTACTAATTACACATATTTTACAATTGTTTGGTATTTGGAAAATGTTTAAGAAAATGGAACAGATATTACTGTAAATAAATAAAGATTCCCTATGCCAAATAGATTAACTGCATGCTCACAATTATAGATATGTATAGTCAATATATACCCAGTCCAGACCCCAAGATAAAGTAATGCTAAAATATAACCGCTCAGATAGAGGTTTCAGCTAAACAATAAAGTGGGTCATCCATGTATTAAAATACAATTGTAATTGCAGGTATATGAACACCTTCTGCCTTTTGTGTTAAAGGAAATATTTTTAAATGATTAAAGAAGTGTTTTAGTATATTCCATTTTTTGGGAAAATTGTAAAGCTGAACTGCAAGCTCCCTATCACTGAACTCATTATGCATTATCCATGATTACTGAAGTTGCATCATTGGATTTAATCCAGTCTGTATCAGATGCATGGTTTAAACCCTTTAAATATCTTCCAGCCTTTACAACTAATCTCCCCCAATTAACTCTCCCCATGACGTGTGCACCTTTATGTTTTAGTTATGGCCTTGTATCTTTGCCAAGTTAAGGGAACATCTAAGAAATAAATATGTGTACATTTTAAATGTTAGCACACAGAAGAGAGATTTTGTTACAGGGATACTGCTCCATATTATAATGACTGAGAGATGTTGACATGTTCAAGAGGGTATGTTATTCTATTTTGATAATATTGCAAGCATATACTTTAATCTTAAAAACTCTGCTATGAAAAACAATATGTTCCATTTCTAACGCGTTGTCAGTTTGCAATATCATAAAGACAAAGTACACAGTTTAAAAAATACAACTTTGCATTCTAAAATTTGTAATATTTGCATTTGCCTATAACATCATTCAATAAAAATAATCATGTACAATTTAGTTCTCATGTGCTATAATCTATATTCAATGTATGATATCTAGTCATGATGTAAATGAGGTAGACAACCCATGAGCTGACATTTTATGTCCTTTATATCAGGGCCAGTGTTAACAAGAAATTATTTAAGTCCCTCCCCTGAGCAGCCTACGGCTGTAGCCAGTACTTATTTGAATGCTATCTGTCTGTTCACCGATACATATTTTGGTTTATTTGACCTCTATGCAATCCTTATTCCCCTAGACATACTCAGGTCTGTTCTGTGTCACCGTGAACCCTTACAAGTGGCTCCCTGTGTATAATGCAGAGGTTGTGGCTGCTTATCGTGGGAAGAAGAGGAGTGAAGCTCCACCTCATATCTTCTCCATCTCTGACAGTGCATATCAGAACATGCTGACAGGTATGTCCATAAGTCCTGTGTGTACAGGCTATTTGTACTCCACGTTACATAGCTTGAATTCACTCAGCACTTTCTAACCCACATAACACACAAAGCATGGTTATCATTACATATCCCCCTATATTATGCAGCCGGTATGGATGATATTACATGTATGCATGTAGATTACAGACTATTTATGTGCACTGAAAGTCATATGCTATGTGCTCTACATATTCTAAATGTGCACTACCTGTCATAAAGGGCCAGTTTTACATCCCTCTTCTGCAGGAAGTCTATTTAATTTGAAGACTGCAGCTTAAAGGGTCAGTTTTACATCCACCATTGCAACAAGACCATTTCATTTTACTCGGTTCTTTACATGCTCTTTCACATGTTAATGTTTCCATACACTCTAAACACCACTACAGGTGTTTTAACAACAGTTTGAAAGAAACTGCATCCAATTGATGGAACAGATGGCAGAACGCTCTGGGCAAACCTGCCCCCAGCACTCTCAGCCAATCAATGTTGCCCAGCCTCGGCAAAAAGGACACTCATAATGCAGGTGTGTTAATTCCACATTACCAATGGAGCTCAGATGGGGTGTTGAGAAGAGTGCCCAGGCATATTAAACTGAGGGATGCTGCCAGGGCACTGTAGGCAACATAAACGCCCCTTTAAGTACCAATATGACAATCTGCTAATATTTAATATGAATATGAGGTAGGTTCTACAGTAAGGAACTACCAGGCTCAAAGAACTTAAAATTGTAATTGTCATATTGGCATCTAAATAAATCCTTAAACATATATATAATTTGGAAGAAGAATTTCCACCATACCAGGTTTAATAACACTGCAGTTATTCACTAAAGAGAAAACTGCTGAGTATTCAAAGTGAATTTCAAATCTTAGACCAAAATATTCAAAGTAAAAAATAGGCAGCATATTCATGAGCAAGTTTGGGAGTACCAGGAAACCCATAAGGTTTTTTAACCATGTCAGGATATGGTTTTTTTTAGCAAGTTTTG